GAAGACACGAAAAGTTGATCAATTTACCAGTGATGGTGAAAGGGTAAATACAAAGTTTTGTCCTGGTAGCTCATTCATTGAGTGGAACAGTGAACTGATCCATTCATGTTTAGTTTACTGTAGCGGTGCGTTTTCTTTACTGTTGGCTGGCTGCTGTCATCCTGTCTGCAGAGCTGTCCTGTTCCTGGGCCCCTCCATGGCCCCTGCCTCATCCCTCGGGTTCCCCCTTCCATCATTTTTTAATCCCTCCTTCTAGATGGGAAGCACTATGCTCCCTGTTAGTTCCCGTACTGAAAAGGGGCTCCACTTTTGTCTGGTTGTCACCTGTTCTTTTCTTCTGTACGTAGTGATAAAGCTTTGTGAACTGCTCTTCCTGTGGGTTGATGTCACTCTTCATCTGAACCATTCCTGCCTCAGATGCATCAGAGTATGTTGGGCACAATGATGGTGAAGGCCCTTTCCAGCTCTATATCCTATAATTATACTCCACAACTTTGAGAAGATAATTATCACTAGCTGCTTCACAGAAGCACAGAACATTAGAACAGGAGGGAGCTACAGATATTATCTGCTTCAATGCCCTCATTGTATTAATGAACCGAAATCAGAAGAGATTAAATCACTTGCCCAAAGTTTAGCTGGGCAGCTAGGTGACACAGGGGATGGAGTGTTGGGCCTGGAGTCAGGAAGACTCATCTTCCTAAGTTCAAATCTGGCTTCAGTCACTTAGTAGATGTGTGAATCTAGGCAAGTCACTTAACCCTGTTTGCCTCAGTTTCCTTATCTGTAAAATGAGAAGGAAATGTCAAACCACTCTAGTATCTTCACCAAGAAAATCCCAAATGGGGTCACAAAGAATCAGATACAACTGAAAAATAATTTAATAACAACAAGAAAAAGTCTAACTGCTAGCCGGTGACAAAGTTGGAAATAAAAATCAGGCCTACTGACCTCTAGGCCAATTATTCTTTGTCATAGGAATGCCTATTGATCAATAATTGGAAGGATAGATCATTGAGTGTATCTATCAGGATACACACACATATACATACATACATACATACATACATATATACATACATACATACATACATACACACATACACACATACACATATATGCACTACAAATGGACAGCCACTTTGACTCAGAATTCAGTAGGAGAGGGGACTAGGTTGGATTTGGGAAATTACGGTGGACTACGTAGGGGACTTGAAGTCAGGAACAATTGAGACTAGTTTGGCCTCAAACACTTACTAGCTATGTGACCCTGGGCAAATCAATTAACTTCTCTGTGCCTCAGTTTCCTCATCTGTAAAATGCAGACAATTAGTGCCTACCTCCCAGGGTTGCTGTGAAGATCAAATAAGATGGCATTTGTAAAACACTTTGCAACCCTTAAAGTGCTACCCAAATTAGCTATTATGATTGTTTCAACAATCCCAAGTTACTCCTTGATAAAAAGAAACTCCATATTTCTAACATTGGGGATACTGTTGGCCTGTGAATCAAAGAATACCACGATCTCTGTAGAACCACAATTATGGGTGACCCAAAGGGCAGAAAAGAAGCTGAGTGTTGTTACAGTGAGATCAACAGGCTGAATGTATCTGGTATCCATGGAACATGAAACATGAAAAGACCTGGAGGAAGGCCTCTAGCATGTTGGGTTATGACCTTGTGAGCTTCACAGGGTTGAAAGAGTCATCAGAGGTTCCTTCAACAACTGGAGCTGGTAGGAGCAGTAGCCAAATCTTGTGAGGAGCTGGCTGACTAGCAACTTAGTGACTCAGCCCAGAAATAGATTGACCTTGGAGCTTAGACATCTCATCCTATTTAAGCCTCAGAAATGGGAAAAACTTGATGGGATAAATGTTTTATAACAATCGCTACTCTCCCCAGCAACCAAGTAGGTATAGAGAAAGGAGAACACACCCTTGTTTGGGTGAGATGATATTGTACATCAATTCTTGCTGCATTTTCTCAGCAAAATCCTTTTGTAAAGCTAATTGATCATAACTGATTGTTATTGGGGAGATGTTAGCTTGTTGGAGGAAACACATTGGGGACCCATGAACACATTTTTTGGTCTCAAGATCCTTATACACCTTAAAAATTATTGAAGATCACAAAGAGTTTTTGATTATGTTGGCTATATCTATTGATATTTATTAGAAATTGAAATAGATAAAATTTTTAAAGATTACCAATTAAAATAAAAATGAACTCATTATATCACATTAACATATAATTTAAATAATATTTTAACAGAAAAACTATTTTCCAAAGGAAAATTTAGTAAGAAGAATATCATCATTTTACATATTTTTACAAATCTCTTTAATGTTTGGCTTAATTGAAGACATATTCTCTTATCTGCTTCTGTATTTAGTCTGTTGCAATACATTGTTTTGGTTGAAGTATATGAAGAAAATATAGCCATACACAGATATGTAGTTGGAAGATGGAGATATATTTTAATATGCTTATGCCCTCTTGGTATTCTTCTGAAAATAATTTTGATGGACACCTGTGGCACCAAAAAAAATTCTCCCCATAAAGTGTGAGGCATACTCTTCTACAAGTATGTACAAAATCCAGGAAATCATGGGTTTAAACTTGTAATACAGTGGCAATGAGACATACATGTAGACACTGGAAGTTACTGGAAGTCCATTCTTGAGTCCACATATAGCAGTCTTTTATTGTTTAAGGGGCCAAGCACTTTGAGGCGGATTCCTTCTGATAATAGCTATCTTTCTGTACTCATCTATATCTGTATTTTTTTGTGTTTGTTCTTAATGTGTCTTGCTTTGGGTTGGGTGAATTATCTCCTGTTGGTCTCTCCTTTCAGATGACATAGTCAATGGAAGGGGTGTGTGTGTGTGTGTGTGTGTGTGTGTGTATGTGTGTGTGTATGTGTGTGTGTGTGTGTGTGAATGTGTATGTGTAAACAGCGAAAAATTCTCTCCTTCCCTCAGAAGCAGTTTTCTCTTAGTGAATTGACTCAAACTGCAGTCTTCAACTCCAAAAATTAAATCTTCCAACAGTGAGCTGGACCTCTCTCAACTAAGCTCACAGACGGACAGCAGCATACATTCTAATAATGCTACCACTTTAGGGGATTCATTATTTGTACTAATTGGGACCTAGCTTTACTCTCAGTGCATGCTAATGATCCTCTCAGCCAATTATGTGGCTTTATTTCTTGATCCACTTAAAGAATTTCATACTTAAAAAGGAAACTAATGGGGTGGAGGAGAAATCCCACATCTTTATAAGGGATTTATATAAATGTTTTTGAAGAGGCTAGTTGGCAAAATGGATAGCATACTGGACCTGGAATCAGGAAGACTTCAGTTCAAATCAAGTCCCAGAAACTTACTATGTGACCCTGGGCAAATCATCAGTTTCCTAATCTGTAAAATGGGTATTACAAAAAACCCCATGTAAATTTCTTTGTCCCCCCTTTTTTCTCCCACCCTCACCCAAGAAATGTGAACCATTAGTCACAAATATGTGTGTGCATGTGTGTATGTATATGATAAATCATTCTATGCATCTAATTATCGGCTCTTTCTCTAGATGCAGATAGCATCTTCTGTTCACACGTCCTTTGTAGTTAATTTGAGTATTTGTAATAGTTAAAATGACTTAATAATACAATAAATATTAAATTTAATATTTAATAAATAAATTAAATCTAAATACAATAAATATTAAAATTATAATAAAAAACATTAACAACAATAATAGCAGCCATCTCCCAGGATTGTTGTAAGGATAAAGTGAGATGGTGTTTGTGAAGTGCTTGGCAAACCTTAAAAAGCTATATAAATTCCATTATTATTGCTGTTATTGTTCAATATAAATTCAACCGCTAATATTGCAAGCTACAACCCTTTTCACGGTTATTAGAAGTGCTCTGGGCATTTCCCTAAGACTTTCAGCTGCGGAGCAGGTGCAGAACTGCATCAGTGCAGGAGCTTCCTCCCTTAGAGTTCCCTGCACCAATGAAATCAAAGATCCTGTCCCCTTGTCCACCCCTCCCCCCATCTTCCAACAAAAAGAAAAAAAAAGAAGAACCCGTGTCACTGCTGCAGCCAGTCCGCCTTTCTACTCACCTAAAGGCCAGGACAGCTAGTAGAACACTGACAAGGTGAACACCTTTTATTGTTTATATCTCAGAGGAATCTGGAAATGATATCGACATCTAGTAGCTCAAATGTCAGCAATTTTTTGCCCATGCGCTAATCTTAGAGTTTGAAAATAGGGAACAAAACAATATGTTTTTGAAAAAGTGATAAGAAACAGAGGGGAAAAAAATTACACCATTGTTCCAAGCTGTGGCTTGAAAGATGGCATCTGTACTGGGGTGTCGGAATGCTTTGCTTGTCGACACCTTTTGGGACAGAGAATGCTGAATGAATGGAGGAATGAAGATGGAATATGGGTTTTAAATGGTGTATTGGTTCTTCTCTGCTTATCCCTGATTGCCCTGAGGAGTGGAAAGGCAATGCAAATCTAGAGCGGAGAGAGAGAGAGAGAGAGAGAGAGAGAGAGAGAGGAGAGAGAGAGAGAGAGAGAGAGAGAGAGAGCGAGCGAGCAAGAAGGGGAGATGTGAGAGCCTACGGAGGGAGAGAGAGGGAAGGGGGAAGAGAAGGTGGGAGAGAGAAAGAGAGAGATACAGAGAGGGAGAGAGAGAGCGCTGTATGGAGGGAGGCTTATGACCAAATTGTGCAAAACAGAAAACCTGCTTTTCAGAATTGTTGGTATTTTTTGCCACAGGAATTATGTCTTTGCATTTTGTCCTGGCTTTGGTCCATAGTGTCCACTAGAAAATACAGTAGCTGTAGCCATAGATCAGACTTTTTTTTTTCTTTCTCTGGCTGTCTCTCTCTTCTCCCCTCCCTTCCGCCCCCCCCAGTCCCTCCTGAGACCTCTATGAGCTCTGACGTCACATGTGCTCCTTTCAGTTGCTATAGCAACCCCATTCCCCAAGCCTTCTGTCCCTTGCCTCTGGTAGGTTCCACAATGGTACAGGCAGCATCACGCTGCACAATGGTTTCCAGGCAGTGAAAGAGGGTGATTCAGCAAGCACTCTTCTTTTTTTTCTCCCTCCCCCCTCCCTTTATTTTGATTTTAAGGGTGATTCTTGCTACAAGCTTATTTTTCCTTTTTCCATTTTTTTTGTGCAAATTCCTTTAAGCCCTCTTGACCTCCAATTTCTGGAGCTTGAAGAATTTTAAGATTGCATTTTCTGGAAATCACCTTTTTATCATTAATTCTAAACAATTCCCCATCCCCCAAAGAAGCCCTTCCTCATTCCAATTTGGAATGTGGTTATGAGAAGCAAGTAGGGAGTTACTTGATGGTGCAAACAGTGCTGGACCAGGATCCTAATTCTCAGGCACGGCATGGTAGGTGACTGCTCGTCTGGGGTCCTGATGGTCTGTTGTTGTTGTTGTTGTTGTTTTCTGTGTATTGTGTATTTGTGTATTTGCAGGGTACAGTGATAACTGCTGATTGCTACTGGTAGGGAGGTGGGTTGGAGAAGAAGCTGGGGTGGGGGGAAACTGGGATAATGAGGTAAAATATTGGGGATGCAAGAAGACAGAAAGTTGGTACAATCTATGGTCAGAGGAGCATCTTTTCCTACACTTGGGTGTGTTTAAGCATTTCTCTTTGGGGTAAGTAGAGAGGGGTAAGGCAGGAGAAGCGGAAGGCCTTCTTTCTGTGACAGGAAAGGAAGGAGTCATAGAGCTGAAATAGCTGGTGCATGGAAATGGTAGGTTGATACTCAGCCTTCTCTCTGAAATTGATGCATATTTTTAGGAAATAAAACTATGGCTTTAAACAATGTTTACCATAGATTTACTGGGATAATATAACTTAAATCCTTCCATATCTACACTATATATACTGTATATAGTAAGAAGAGAAATATTAGCCATGTGTAGGCATACACAAACATATGCATATTATTTCTACCATCTCTATTTACCTATCTATCCATCTATCTAGCTTTAGCTCTCCATTGCGTTTCTCTCCAATCTCTCTCTGACTCTCTGTCTCTCTCCTACTTGCTTGCTGGAAAGCAATAGTAAAGTCCTTGTATAGAGATTCTGGGACAGATTTGGGAGGGGAAAGAAGGGAGATTAGAGACCCCATTAGGAGATAACAAGAATCACCGCAATTTCAGATGCACAGGTAAGGGATTCATTGAAGCAAATGATTCCTCAGCACAGCAAGATGCATTCTTCATTACAAGGTTTCTTTAGGTATGTGCTAGAATAGAATGACCCTTAGAAGGCTCAAACTCTGTCAGAAAAGCAAAACAACCCCACTACCCACCCAAATGTAAACTCAGTGGTGGTGTGGATTGCAGTATATTTGTCAGGATCCAATAGTTATTTGTGACTGCAGCAATAGTACATATATATATATATATATGTATATATATATATATATATATACATATAGGTATATATAAATATACATACATATAAACACACATACATATGCGTATCTTGGAAAACCTTTGGCCAATAAATGTTACAAAAATTAGAAAAGAATTAGATTTCTTAAAAGTTTCTCTTCCTTTCACATCAAAAGAATGAGGATTGGGATTTTTGCTTTTCTTTTATAGATGTTTCCCAGTTCCCTGTAATCTTGCTAGAGAGGCAGACTTTTTCCAAGGACTTCCCCAGCAGAGGCTCACTGGTTCTTTAATGCCGCCTTTCCTTCCTCTGGTTTGTCGACTCTAACTTTGAGAACATTGCGAACAAGCAAACGAAGGTAGTTTTGGAGGTCAGATTTCAACCAAATGGGCAAAGGGGAATGTTCGAAAGAATACACTAGCTAGACATCTCAATTCATGGTCCCATTTATCCTCTCCACTTCCAGCCAATTCTGCTGGTTACAGAACCCTGAGAATTATGTAGAGGGCTGATCACCAAACTTAACAGAATAAGAAATGATGGTCCTTTCCAATACCTCCTGGGAGGGTTTAAATTGTTATCATTCTGACTCAGGGAAATTTATCTGCATTAAAGCAGGGGTTCTTAACCTGGGGTGTGAACTTGTACAAAAACTATTTTGATAACTATATTTAAGTATAATTGGTTTCCTCTGTGATCACATGTATTTTATTTTATGCATTGAAAAATAATATTCCGAGAAAGGGTCCCAAGGTTTCACCAGAATACCTGCCAGAGGAGTCCATGACACACATAAAGGTTAAGAGGCCCTGTTTTAGAGGGAGAAGGGAAGATAAATGAGTGCACAAGGCTTTTGGCTTCACCTTTGGATTTTCAGGGACTTTGGGGGTCATGTACAGCAATTTGGCTGTCTCTAACTATGTATCTTGTGTGCTTTAATAGTGTTTATATAACTGGCATAAATACTGACTCATTTCATCACACTGAGCTTTTTTTTTTCTGCTCCATAATGGGAATTGAAAAGCAGATGACAAAGTGGTTGGTATGTGACTTAGGAAAGGTGCTAAGTAGCTGTCACGTTTTCTTGATATTGCGTCCTTCCATCTTCTTGTTGCAGAACAGGTCTAATTGGCCCTTCTTCTTGAAAAAATTTTTAGTCCATTCTAAGAAAAAATATCCTGCTGGGGTGCAAGAAAATGTTTATAATGGAAAATTCAGCTTCCTCCCCCTTGGTGTTTGTACTGTTCTGTTACCGAGAGGTGTACATGTGTGTCGGCTGGGAGGAGCTGTTTGTGAGCAGATCCCTGTTTTCTCTGTCCTTGTCTGGCATCTCTGAAGCCATTATTATTTAATGGTTTTGTAATGTGCTCAGTAATGTGCAGGGTTAAGCGAAGCTGTTGGTTGATCAAAGCTACCGTAGTGTCCCATGTGCATGTATTTTAAATACAAGTAAGTGCCATCAGATTTCTTAGGTCAGCATATCCTTTAAGAACGTAACTGAGAACAATTTGACCTCTCTGCTAATTTAAATGTCATCTAAAGTTTAAAGGCATATATTGTCTTTGAGATAAACTCAGTGCTGCTTAAGTTTTTGTTTTATAAGCTAATCCAAAAGCTTGTCTTGATGATGAATGATAAAAGACAGCTTAGGATATTTCTTGGTTAAGTGGGATCATACCCATCTTCCCTTTCTGTTCCTGTTCTGTTATTGGGTCACCTTTTCAGCTGAAGGACTTTCAGTGGAATGGCAAAAAAATGTGAAAATGGAATGATTTCTTACCTCTCTTTTTATTTTTGCCATGTCATTACAGCACTAAGGAAAAATGAAAAGACCGAATATCTCTTCCTATCCAGTATCACTACTCCCTCTTTAATAATTTCTCATGCTCTTGGTTGGAAATAGAAATATTTATTTGTGCAAGAAAGAAGAAAATAGTGTCTTCTACCTTTAAATGGAAAAATGCACTTGCTGTAGTCTCCTTCATTACCCCTCCTTTGAAACACAGAGACACGCAAACATACACAACATTTTTCTAGCTATACTTACTGTAGTTCCATCTGTGTGAAAGGGAGAGGGGATGTGATCTGCATGCTTCCTCTCAACTCAGTGGATGGAGTCACAAAATGTAAGCGTAGCCCTTCCTCTGAGATTACTGCCAGTTTAACTTAGGTGAATCTTGCATGTACATGTTTGCATGTAGTTGTTTGCATGTTATGAGCTCCTTGAGGGCAAAGCCTGTTTTTCCCTTTCTTTGTGTCCTCAGTGCCTGACACATGATAGGCATTTAACTAATGCTTGTTGACTGACAGCCAGGTATTACATTAGTAATGGCCACACCATGAAGTGTGAATCACTTCATAAAGTGTGGACCTCTTTCCTTGATAGAATTTTTAAAAGCAATCTCATTGTAAAACAAAGACTGAATACTTCTTTGAAGGGCTTTAAATAGATATGCCCTAGAGAGCGTTCATTAGTTCTGAGGCAGGCATTAGCATTGCTCTTGGGTGAGGGGATTTGTCTCTCCTCCCCACGCATTGGCCATGTAGCTTTGAAGCAGACAGGTTTGAGGCAAACAGTATGCAGCAAGGCTCAAGGACATTTATGCCAGACAGATGGGTATGCAGAGAGGCAGAAGTAGCTTCAAGGATGGTGACCTCTGGCATCAGAGAAGATTGTTGGCTATGGAAGTACTCAAAAGAAAACTAGCCCTGGTGATTTTGATCAGAACTGTTGAAAGCACGCTAGTGGGAACTCTTGGGTTTTAATAGTAGGATACAGTCCCACATGGGTTTACACATGGGACTTAAGGCTGCAGCCTCCTTTGGGGATTCGACCTTTCAGTGCAAGTACAGGTTGGGAGAATAGTCCCAGAGGGTCTACTACATGTGGAACTTGGGATTGATGGGGAAAAATTTTTGAAGAGGATCAGTCCAGGTTTGGAGACGATAGGTGAGGGAGAGAAGCTTATTAGTAACGAATCATTGCGTCTTTGGAATATTGGGGTTTGTTCTTTTTTTTCTTTGTTTTTCTGCATTTTAAAGGTCTGTGGTGAGTCACTAAGGTGATACAGATGACAAGTTATTCTACACAATGATTTTTTAAAAGAAAATAACATTAAGTACTGGGGCCACCAAACTTTGAGATATTTCCAAATCCATTTTTGTTCCATATTCACATTCCATTTTCCTAATTGGCAATGTGGTGTCATGGATAGAGAATTGGAGTCAGGAAGACCTGCATTCATCCCATACTGGGTGCGGGACCTTGGGCAAGCTAGTTAACCTCTCGGTGCCCTGGATAGCTCTGTAAAATGAAGTTTTAGGGTAGGTCCTGATCTACATTCGTGGAATTTGTATGTAACTGTATCTATATACATATATGTCTACAGACATATGTAATATTGATTGCTGTGGCTCTCACTTCCTGGAAGGCCAAGTGGGTTAGATTTCATTCCTCCGGGTTCTCTGGTACCCTTAGGGAAATTTAGGGGTATCTAGGCTACCCTAGCAGCTATCTGCTAAGGGCAGCTAGGTGATGCAATGAATAGAGCGCTGGCCTTGAAGTCAAGAGACTTACCATTTTTAGTTCAAATCTGGCCTCAGACGTTTACTAGCTGTGTGACCCTGGGCAAGTCACTTAACCCTGTTTGCCTCAGTTTCCTCATCTGTAAAATGAGTTGGAGAAGGGAATGGCAAACTACTCCAGTATCTCTGCCAAGATACTGGCCCCAAATGGGGCCATGAAGAATCAGACATAGCTGAACAACAATAATAAGGCTCTCTGCAAATGACTCTAGCGCTCACCTGTGTTGTTTCCTCAATTATAGGGGGATCCCCTGCGCCCAGTTCTATTTACTTACCAACTGCCAGAATAGGTTTCATACAGGAATATTTACTTCAAAAGGTACAATCACAAATATGTAAACTTACTCTCCCAACACGTAGGGGGCAAGAGGATTTTGCCTAAACCGTAGCCTGAG